AACAAGATTAATGCAGGATTTTAATGGTCCCTAGGGGGTTAGGGTTAAATTTTGTACATGTATTCAGTGCCATAAAATGACATTAAGAATTGGGATCTCAGGAAAGAATGCATATCTGCCAAAGAAATCTGACATATTTATGACTTTTTTACACAGTCAGTTACAAAGTTGCACAGTTCAGCAACTTTTAGTTAAACCCCAATCAGATGAATGTCGTGTTATTCGGCATCTCCTTGTGGTTTTGATGTTTCTTTCCTCGTGCTTCAAACAGCTGACGAATGAGGGCAGCCTTGTCCTTTTCAAGCTGGGTGATGAGCTCACTCTTCTGAGACACCTCCTGTCATCCAAGCCAGAAATGTGCATCAAAATTAGATTTTACAGTTACAAATGAGAGAGAGAGTGTGTAGATTTGAACAAAATAGAATATTAAGACAAATTGGCACACGTTTAGAAGATCTTTTACGCCCTTTGTTAATTTTCAGAAATTTCACATTTTCAGAGCCAGTAAACCTTTAAAAATAATCTCTTACCATCAATAACTTTTTGGTTTATTAGAGACCGTCATATACTGTTTGTAAATATTGACTTGTCAGGTTCCACAACTGCTGGGTTGACGAGTTGATATCTTGACCAAGACCAGTTACAGCCTTATGTGTAAGTACTGATGGTGAACAGAACAACATATAACTCTCTCTACCTTGGTTAGTAATCTGTTTTGTTCTCGTAGCTGAGCGACGAGATTACTGTTGACACTGCTGGTACTCGATGTGCTACTCATGCGTTGCTTCGGGGGAACATGTGAAGGTTGGACAGTGTCCATGGCCAGGTTCATATGATCCGGAAAATCCTGTACATTATGCAACAGAAATGACAAATACCACAACTGATTTCAGTCTTCCATTAACAAAGAAGATTCTCAGATGGGGGAAATTATGATTCTTAGAGTCTCAAGAGAATCCAAAGAGAAAAACTGTTGACTACATGTATGTTAGAAATAATCCTGGTAACACATTAATGTAAGCTTAGAAGCTTGCAGGCAGTGCCAGGTAGCAGCGTCCCTTGGGGAAGGAGCTGTATAGTCCCTTTCAGGGTGGAGGACGTGTGTCCTCCGGTAAGAGAACTCCCGGAAATGACTAAGGGACGAAACAGGCCTCCTGATCTTGATTTATTTATTTCTTTTGGGTCCCTTATTAAAATACGTGTATCCCCATATCAGTTAACATATTACTGACCATCCAGGGTTGCATCGAGGATCATATAATTCCAAATTTGCTCAGAGATCATCTCCGGGACAATCACCAGTGTTATCACTCTTCTTCCAACACTTCAACGCTTTAACAAGTGGCCAACTCTAAATAACAATGAAACTAGAAAATGTTCCTTCTGAACACAGAGCAACAGCTCTCAGCAGATCAGAGTTTTAAGCAAAGGTAAACAACAAGCCATCTAAAAGACTGCAAATCGTTCATCAAGTTACAGCTGAATAGGGTCGTCACGTCCCAGTTTCACACTAGATACCTCCTCTTTCACAATACTCTGCATTCCGTCCAACCAATATGAACATATTTAAAAATATCAGGTTTAACCCCTTACACAGAAATGTGGATACAATCTTTTAAATTATTAGTGTTTATCATGTAATTCCTTTGAAATCTATCACATTAAAAATTCATGGATTTTCTTCATAACCTCAACAAAGTAGTAATAACCAAAAAGTTTCAGAAAAGGTATGACCTTGTTCAATTCTCTAATGTTTTAATTTTTGTTCATGGTTCAAGTCATTCTCCTTCATAGTGCCTTCAAAGTTAAATTTTTCTGTCTCATTTTATCTGTGCAGAAAGATAACTTAACTCATTCAATAAGAAACAAGAAATCACTGTAACTTGTCAAAGTTTACTCATGCGAGTTCACACCTAGGTCCCAAATTTATGACAAGATAAACAGAAACAATAAGTAAGGTTATTTTTGATAATCATGGACACTGTAGCCACTCTAAAGAAACAGTACAAATGTTTGAACTTTCTTACCCTTTATCAACTTTAAATAAGCAAAGATCCCTTTGAAGAGAGAATTTGCTTCGACACGTCACCGCACCCTTGGCCCCAATTTGTCTGAGTGCATTTCCAAGGGACGGTTGAGATCCATCCAAAATTGGGGCAACGCTGGCATGCACTGATGTATTCAACAGATGGTATGAAAAGGGGGTGTGATAAAAGGGCCACACACAGTCCACCCTGAAATTCTGTCCACCGCTCTGCATTGAAACCATGCTCTCGTCATTCTACTGTAATCAAACTGTGCTTAAACTTGCAAGGGCCACAGAGCCCATTAGAAATAATGGACAACAGACTCTTCCTTCCTCTTCCAGACAAATTCCTTCAAAACCTAACACTGGATTTTGAGGGATCTGGGACAGTTGAACTAACAGTTTCAAACCACACTGTTCCCAAAACAAGTCCTGCTAACCTGTGCTACATCTTGGAGTTTCTTGCAACATGACAAAGCTCAAGTTTCTCACCCCCTCCCAGCACTCACCTTCTCTGGATTTTCCATGAGATGGGTGAGTTGTCTGTTGATCTCCAGGATTCTTGACATGCGATAGGCTCGTCTGTCCTGCTGGCCTGAAGCAGGGGAGTCCTGAGAAACAAAATTAACACTCTTCCGTGTTAGTCAGGAAACATTTTTCAGTAACTTTTGAGTGGGCAAAGGAATCAGTGGGTTATCAAGGTTTTGGCTTCAGAAAAGCCGAATGGAAGTTTTATGAAAACAACCCTGAGTTTTCTCAAAGATCAACATGTAAATTGAGGTTTAAAATTTCTAAAGTCTCACACTGTTAGCTAAAAGTTGGATTAAATTATTGAATTTACTCAACCGCAATGGTTGATTTTTCAGTGATAAAGTAACAAGGGGAAGACAACATTTTAAAAGAAGTTTCTTTTTTCTCAAAGATATATCATGATGAGTCTCATGCCAAGTTCCAATGGTTTGATACTGCTATCCGAATGTAGGAGTGAGGTACTTGAGCATGATACCTTGTCTTCTGGACACAAGACCAACTTAAACCTTACCTCGCCATGAGTAAACTGTGAGTTCCCTGAGTATCCTGGGTGTCTCTGCCTGGCATATGCTAGTTGTCTCTGGTACCAGTCTCTGGATCTCTCAGCCACCTCCAAGCCCTGTAGTAACACATCTCGCTCCTGCTCTAGCTGTTTCATTCGTTTCAACTGCAATAAAAAAAAGGCATCTGGAGTAAGAGACTAATCATATGAAACATCAGACCATTTTAAGATACCATTATGTAATCGTTGGAAGTGCATGTAGTTCATGGTAGGAAGAAGAAATTCTACCCCGACAACCAAACATGGTGTGGTTAGAATGAACCCACTGCAATCCATGAGAAAAATTATTTTCTATACTCTGAGAAAAGATTTCTGGAACAGAAATCCCAGGTTTGTTAACTGTCCAATGGAAGTCACTGTCATCAGGACACGTGTACAGATTCTACACAGGGTGTTGATGCTGGCCTGGTGATCATGAATTTCAAAATATGAATGTCAATCTAGAATAGGCTTTTCATGTTATAATTAAAAGTTGATTTTTTTTCCACAGCATTACCAATGGACCTTTCGCATGATATATGCAAATTAGACGGGCGCATGTGTGCTACTACAGCTGGTTGGCAAGTGCAGCCATCAACGCTGTCGGCATTGTAGGAGCGCTGCTCTAACCATAACGCAGCGCGTTGAAAGTCAAACAAAACTGTATAACAGCCTTTGTCCGATACTTCAGCATGCTTTTCTCGAAACTAAGCCAAGTTTTCAGTATCCTGAGGTTGGAAAGTAACAATTCCTTGTCTTTAAGTTTGGCACTCATGTCAAACTACATGTACATTGATACTAGTACAGAAATGGCATGTACATGTATGTGCTCACACTAACAGTTGCACATACATGGAGATTTGTATTGTTGCGTCATAGATTTAAGCAACTTTGCCAACCAGTGGCAGTAATGCGCATGCACCTGCCTTATTTGCATATTTAATGGGAAAGGTCCATAACATGCATTCAACACTAAGAGTAAAAGAAATTTAGCAGAAGAATAAAAGCAAGAATGAGAAATAACACATTATGGAAAGGAAGAACACTGGCAAAAACTGATACAGAAAAACAATACAACTGGAAATGCCTTACTTAAATTCAATGATATATTTCTTGAATGATTATGATGAAGTAAAAGGTACATGTCTGGTTTTTTTTTTGAGGTTGAACTGTAAGCTGACTACAAGTATGTTAACAAACCTGAAACAAATATGGTTTTCGTTAAATGCTTTCAACACTGCACTTACCCCATGCTATCACCTAACTGGACTTTTTTGAGACTTCAAAAATCTCATTATTTTTAACATGTGGAGTTGTGACCGACCCCCATCTGTCCATTTGACCTTAAAACAATCCCTTTTTAATTGCATTTTAAGACCAGATGTTTGCATAATTACGGATGACCTTAACTCTGTTTTTTTAAGTAGTCCTCAAGTACTAACAAAAACCCAGACAAGAAAATGAAAAACCTTCGCTGATTTCGATTCATTTTTTATGAGAGGGAAAAGGTCTTCAGATGGTATAATTTCAAAATTATAAATAACAAATTCTATAACAATTACAGATACAAATGCCTTTGCTATTAAAGAAACAGTTTTGTTTTAGTGAATTTCAAAATTTACATGTCGTATTATGTGTACAGAATTGATTATATTATAGCCTTTAAACTTTGTGTGTTCAATAATGGAGAATCCCAACATTAAGTGTGCGAAACTATGACGTGTTTTATTGAGAGCATAATTATGTTCAACATGTTTGCTTATTGATGGGATCCTTGGCCTTTAATATTGATATTCTTTATAACACATGATGAGGACTATGTCCAATGTCTGTTTCTGCAATTACTTATTTTTAATTCCGTCATGCATTGGTGCTTATCTTGTTATTAAGCACCTAGTCATCCACGCATGTGGAATCCACTCCCAATATACCGATGAACGCTCTTCGGTATGATTCATAACTTCATATCAAAATTAACTGCAGCCTTTATGTGATAAGCCAATCAGAGAATGACATTTGTATTCTTGAAGTGACATGCGAACAACTATTGCTATCATTTTTTGCGCCTCTGGATGGATTTGTGTAGAATGTTCACCAAATGGAAAGAAACGGTCCCTTTGTTAGAAATGCAAAACAGGAGAAAACTGTGTGAAAATTTCAATATGTCCACGCCATATTCTAGTAGCAAATATTCCAGCCTGTGAACTGGACATCAACAAAATAATTGGTTGTCAATAAGTCTCAAAAATTTCCCAAAACAACCCTCATGTTTATTAAGGTGAGTAACTACATGTAAGACCGGAACCTTACACTTTACTGAACAATGAAAACATTCACCTCACCCTCCTAGCCTATAAAGTACCATGTGACCAAACAAAACATTTGTGACTGGATCCCACAAAGTGAGTCTTTAAGCTCCTCAGTTATTCTGCTTTAGTTTACATTAGAAGGAGCAACCAGATCTCCCTGTTTTGATATATCACTTAGTTTGGCATGCCGATGAAAAATGGACGTTTGTGGATGAAAAATAAGAGAATTCCTACTGATTTCCATTTTACAAGTTTTTAGTAAGATGCCGTGGTGTCTTGGGACTCATTTAACGTGGATGGGTTAAATTTATGCTTATACATGTATAAAGCGCTCAAATGACTGGTCTGGGGGCATGGCTACAAAGCGGTAAGCAACAAGATGACAACAAAAAACAGCAGCAACTGATCCACAGGCACAGGTATATGCGTACTCAATACAGCTGTTTCACAATAGTGCGCCACCAAGAGTTTACAACGCATTGGCCATTCACACTGCTCGAAATTTGTCAACCAAATGCGCGTTTGGAAAGGGTCGACAAATTATGTGCGTTATGATTGGCCAACGCATTGCAAACTCTTGGTGGCGCACTATTGTGAACAGCCCGTATTCTTAGTCAGTAAAGCTATCACTGCTACATGTAACCGCTTAGCGACTGTGCACTAGCTGTCAATATTCAAAGTCGCTTACCGGTAAGCGGCCAATGGCCCGAATTGAGAGGTGGTGATTTCTCTATTGATAAAAGAGAAAATTGCAGCAGGGAGGGCAATTAAACAGAAAAAGAACAAGACTGAAAAACTGTAAAAGAGACATTCACAGGACACACCCCACCAGGATTATTCAAGATCAATTCAAGAATTTGCTAAGCTACACTATTACATATCAAACTGCACACACAGTTGAAGAAAAACAATTTAAATGTACCATATCATTTGATAAAATGGAAAGATGTAACAGAACTCTTTTAACATGATCATCTTATTTTATTCACTGAGTGTCGACAAGTTATTGAAGACTTTCTTTTTGACTGGTAACAGAATACTACAGAATACCTGTGACCATATTTTAGGACTTCACATTACACTCTGATTTTGAAGGACATCTTTCCAGGTTTTCAAATGACAACGGCCTCCCGATGACCAGGAACTGGAACATACTTTTATTTTGAAGGATGATGACATATGCCATTCCAGATGGGTCCACCCAAAAAAAAATAATGACAAGGATCATTAGCAATTGAACAATCCATCTGTGTTGTGTGTTCATGTGCAGTTTCAGTGATGAATTTCATAAGGAGTTTTATAATATTGAGTGTTACCATATCATTTACAAGTAGGCCACCAGATCTCATCACTGTAATGAATCCTCTGGTGGCAACAACATGTATCAGCCAAATGACATTTTCTATACTGGATAGGGGCCTACACTGACTGGCAGCTGAATCAGTGCAATGCTAAATTAGTTGGACATGTTTTGTAAAGGTTAGCTAACTTAAAACCTTTCAGGTTGTAACTGCATGTCAAAATACGAACGTACGTATAGAAAACAATCAGCACGCTGAACATTATTAGTCTGCTATAAACACTCCACAAAAGCCTCCAAAGGGATGGACTGGGAAATAGTTGATTCAGAACAAGTCAAGACGGGTCATACTGGTCAAAATGGTTTCCCTGGCATGATAGAGAAATCAATCTCCTCAGAATGTGAGTACTTTGCATCTCAGTTTATATACATTTTGAGTGTGGATGTCTAAATCTTTCCAAGCCCAAGCATGACTAATACCGAAACCATTCCCCCCTTGCCTCACAACCCACAAGTCTGAGAGCCTTTATATGGTCATGCTGAGAATTACTAAATACATTCCAGCAACCAAGAGAAAGTTCAAAACCAGAGAAGAATGTCAATACTTGAGCTAATAAAACTTAAGAATTAGAGAGTAGCATTCAACGAGATCAGATTCCAGACCTACTTTCAAAGTGTTTTGCCGATTACTTAGCCTCTAAGGGGGAAAAAAAAGAATTACAGATTAACTCTGTAACTTGCAATGTCAACAGTTTCAGGCGTCAAATTTCTGCCTCGTCAAAATTCTTTTGCCAAGTTGAGTGTCCCTCAAAAGCTGGACTTAAGATGGTTTGACCACAAAAATGTGGCTTTTTGTGCGACCCCCATTAAACTTTGCACCTTTGTGGCAATAACATCCACACAATTGCATGGCAAGGGTGGAGATCAAGTCACAAATTAGTTGTTGGTAGAGTTTGGTTCACAGCAGCAGGCCAGAGTATAACTTTAAGCTTGAATTGAAGTCAACTGTAAAATCTTTACTTTATAACTAGGAATTTAAAAGAAGCATTAAACATGTACAACTGCATTATTACATACATGCAATGACACATTGAATTCACAAGCAGACATTATTCATATTAAATATCAAAGAGCGAATTCACAATTCTTTGCAGTTGGTCATTCCCAGTGCATTACCTTGCCCCACTCCCCAGTTATTTCTCCATTTATCACCTTGTGTCACATCTCACACATGTCCCCCAGACACCACCCACTAGGGGACACAAAGAGACCAAAGGGGGTCCCACTGTGGCACCATTGTTTGACCTCATTAAAGATTAATAGGGAAACAATATCCAACATTATCGATTCCCCTTTTGACTGGCTGGCAGTTCTCTGGCCAGGAACTGGTAATCTGAACTGTCCACCCCTGCTGCTTGTCATGAGAATCACCACACTTGTGCTATAAATTTAACCACAAAGGTTCAACTGAGTTAAACAACTGCTGCTAAGGTGGAACTGAACTTACCATTAAATCTGGTCTTTCAGGAAAACTGGAAGACATAAAAAACCTGGGCTTGTATGCCCATGAGGAAATGTTTAAACCATACATGGGCAATGAATCACCCGTAAGTAGCGCCAGTCCAGGGCTTCACAAACCATGCAGGTTTTGGATACACAAACTGGCAGGATTTTCTAGACTCTGCTGCTAACCACATGTAAAATATGAGGAACTTCACAAACTTAATAAAAAACAAACAGGTACTACATTTGAGTGGGTTTAAAAGTTTAAAACCTCCATTCTGGTTAACATGTTGGGAATCAACATTTTCCAGATTTGTAAACGGGAATTTTTGTTTTGAAGATGTCTTCAGTAGGGGTGTGGCAGTCATCCTAAATATACTTCGGTGAATAAAGGCTTAAAATTGAAACCGGGGACCCTTTGAACTAATCATATACAAAGTACATTGACCTTATGTACTATCAACACACTAAAAACAGACAGTACTACAACACTATTTTCTGTCCAACAAACAGTACTTCCCAAACATGTAAGGACATGCACCAACATGTCAGTACTGCATGTCACCCATTTCTTTTCTATCCTGGGTCCCATGGTATCTTCTTTCAATGTCTTACTTCCTGTGTCCTTGTGATGGAGGCATTGTGAATGAGCAGACAATCAACAGGACGACAGCCAATCAATTCAACTATTGTGGCTGGTAGTTAGATCATAATCCCCTCCATCAGACAAAATGATTAAAGAAAGTCTTGTTGGAATGCCATGAGAATAGTCAACGGAATTTTATCCCGTCTTCAACATTTGAAAGATGAAAAGTAAAAAAAAAAAATTCCAACCATATTTTTTTAGTACACATATCAATACTCTACATGTAGGTCCTATTTATAGATGTACATGTCTGGTAAAATTAGGCACTTCCTAAACAAAATGTTGGGAAAGAAGCAATTTTTAAATTCATTTATTGTTTTGTTTACATAATTTGGGGATTGGTACGAGTTCAGCTTTACTGTCAGAGGGCACCAAAAATAAACCAAGAGTATTCCATTTAACACAAGATTACTGAAACAGAAAATTAGGTCATTAAAATAAATGTATTCTTTCACTGATAATTTTTCATGAGTAAAGCAATAGGTTTACCCTATTGCCAAGATCTGCACACAAGTACATTTCTCAGATAAAGTCAAATCAAGTTCAATGTATTACTATTAAATTGGGTAAGCCAGTGTGTATGGGAATTACTTTGACTTCCATGGTATTGAAAAAAATTCACAGTACAAAGTTTGAATGCAATGACCCAGTTCTGTCTGGACAAACCTATTTACCAAGGCTAGGTTTTCATTGTGAAAAATTAATCGACTAGTCAGGGGACTCTCGAGAAGTTCACAGCGGTTGCTTTTTAGTTTCATGGAATGTAAATATCAAGTCTCTCCCACGGAAGAGAGCAACAATAACCTAATAACGTTTCCTTCAATTTTAAATTTTTAACTTTAAAACAAACCCAAATGCCATGCATGCTGAGATGAATTAATGGACAAAACAGTGGTTCTTGTTTTAAGCTGAATGGATTTCCAAGAAAGTTGCCACACTGCATGTGGATTTCCTTCTAGCAATCCAACAGCACCCTGCTAAAATCCAACTGAGCTGTAATAACAGGTGCAACCCCTCCTACCTCCGTGATTGAAGCTAGCTGCTGATTACAACACACAAATCTTGCTCTTTGGACTGTTCAGGCTGCCAACAATCTGATGAAAGAGGTCTTTGTTCTCAGGACATGTGCAGTATTCCAAGTTCAACCTGACTATAATTTTTTTTTAAAGATCTTAAAGGATTCAGCTTACCAGGTTTAATTTTGTCCAAGTGATATCTGAATTTCTCTGCATTTTGCTAGGTAACAAAGTAACTGTGTAATGATTGCTAAATAAATTCAATTTGACTGAAACTTTCTCAGTATTGACTCTACACACCCAAGAAATGTATCATAATCTTGTATTGATTTCCAATGCAACGTACTTGGATGCAACTCAGTGACATTGTTTGACAAGCAGTTCAACCAACTAAAAAATCTACTTGAATGGAACATCTTGCTACAGAAATTCCTTATTCAAAAACTGACCAATGGTTTAAAGTGCATGTGGGCTGGTTTACACAGCAACCTTCATGTTTACATCCAAGGCAGGATGCCTGTTGCATGACGTAAGCAGGTATAAAATCAACCAGCCATTGTTTGCGCAGTAGTAAAGATTCCAGTGATTTTGAACAATTGGAATTGATCTGTTGGTATGTTACATGCTGGCTTGTCGGTACTCTACCAAGGACTGATGTGGATTCTATTTCTTCATTACAGGAACCATGTTGAATGGCTATTGAAAGACTTCAAAACCTTTTGCAATCACAGATCAAATGCTGAAATGTTGCGGATGGGTGACTTACTGTTGACACAGTCAATGTTGATTGAATCAAAGCGCCTGGCTGTTAGGGTCAACAAGATCTGATTTGAAGGAATGTGCAGCATGAATTCATATTTATTTGAAATCACTTGATTTTATATTCTCCCCAAATCTCTACAACCTACCAGATTGTAGTCAATGCCATTGGAGACTGTATGGCGTCTGGGATCGGTGCGTTTTGACTGTTTAGCTTGGGTCTTCTGCTTCGGTGATTGGTTTGGAGGACGCTGCTCAGAAATGATGGGGCCCTCAACTGGCTTTGCTTCCACTACAAAAAAAATTAAAAGCAATTTTTTTGAATTGAAACTTTTACAAAACATCTAATAAATGAAAATGAATTTAACGTCGCAAGTAAAAGCCACTTGATGATGCTTACAATTGTATGCCCTACATGTAAGTCAATGTTAAATGTTACACATTATTTTTAAACACTTGTCTGACATTTTTATTTAGGTAGAGGATCAAAAATTAGTACACAGGTAAATAAGTTCCCAGCCACTTTGTTATCAGAATCAATACAAGCAAACAGTAAACACTGAGCAGGTATTGTGACATTAAGTTAATGGGGTGAAAAGGTGCTTCAAAGAATAACAGAGTGGTTTTCCTACCAGTGAACTTTGTAACTAAGTGATACAGAGCCTTATTTTCAACAGTGTATTTAATAAACTGAATACAGCAGGAAATAGAATTCTAAATGGAAACCATGCCTTTTTGTTAATTTACAAATTTATAGCCAATCATCGAGGGAAATGGAGATCTGAAATAAGCATGTGTACATGTACACGCGTCTTGCAAGTCTTTCTACAACTTTATTTCAAAATTAAACTGAAACAATTTGCATCCAAGACTCTGAAACTAACCCCCAAATATCCTGTCAAGTAGCTACAACCACAGGACCTACATGATAATGGGTGTTCGTACTAACAAACCAGGGGTGAAAAAGACCACTAATTTGATTAGTGAGGCGTGACATCACTACCCTAACCAGGACAATCAACAGTTCAACCACAGCTATTGGAAAGCAACACCACCTTCAAGTCAATTTTGGGGCTGAGCATTGGTCTCAGGGGATTAGTGGATTGTCTCTATTTTTGCTTTTGAGCTCAGAATAAATGCCGATTGAACTGAACATTGTCGACAAAGGACAAGTTTGTAGGGTGTCTTAGAAAACTGAAAATCATGTCCATCTTTGGTGCTGAATCAAATTATGAACAGTTGTGTCTTAAGTGATACAAAATTCAATAAGGAATAGATGTCAAACTTGATAAAAGCCAACTACACAATATCACACCCTCGTATTCCACTTCCAACAGTTTCTGCTTTCCAATACAAAATTCCAAGCAGATATTCAACTCGTTAGTTTGACCACATGACAGAAATCGAAAAGAGTTCCATAAGCGGACATCACTTGACACCCTGCGCACAGACCTAGCACGAGACTGATAAAAAAATTTGTGCTGAGAAGATGCTTCAATATTTTATCTGCTAAATTTTACTTTTTAGGACTTTTATCACTTTCTAAATTCTAGTGGCTGATATTGATAAGTACATTGTACATGTATGAGAGAAAATTAGTGATGTCCGTACATGGAACTTTAAACTTAAGGTTATAACATTTGCAAGACTCCAAACGGCCAACTTTGCTTACCAGGTGAACGTGGGTGGTCATACACTGGTCCACTGACGGCAGCTCTCTCCGGCTTCGAGTCCAATCTCCCCGGTCCATGCTGCCCTGGCTTCGACGCTTTAGCGGGCGGGTACCGGACATAGTCCCCTTCACTTCTCCTTGAATGACGGTGATTTGATTCCTCTTGCTGTATCCTCGGGTGAAACGGATCATTGGCGTTTATATCCCCAGGTGCAGACCTCCTTTTGAGTTTCACATCTTCTCTGACGCTATATTTACCGCTGGAAATCTTGTCCTCGTTGTGCCGAGCCTTCAGTACGGCGTATTCCCAGCCCGAGGAAGGGTCCGTGTTGCTGGAGAGCGACCGTGGGCGAGCGTTCGGCGCCCGGGGCAGCTGCGGCGCGCTCCGGCTCCGCACGGTCATTGGACGAACGACATTATTCGGTCTCACTGTCGCTGTATTTGGCTGCTTATCTTCCCTGCCTCTACCAACACCCCGGTCAGAATTAAGGGACATTTTAAGCCCACCACAGAACCGTTCAAAGCTGAGTTTACCGTTCTTTGGAGTTGCTTTTCGCAGGCCGTTCATCACACCGAACGGTAAGCTCGTTGTTCCCCTTTCAGAAGCCCAGCGTCTCTCGATCTCCGAAATGTGAACCAAACCGTCTCCATCTTCGTCCAAAATTTCGAACAAAACTTTCAGCGATGCCACAAAAGCTTTGGGAAATCCTTCGACAACCTCCTCAGGTGGCTTTGAGGTTACAGTGGACAGCAACAGAAGCAGCCATATCTTATTCTGTTACATTATCCAATTCCAGTGAAACTCACCTCGTCTTGTCTTACGAGCTGTGGAGGTATTTTTGTTCATCCCGCTCTCCGCGCTGCACATGTGACGTGTTCCGCATGGGCAAGTGCAAAGCACCTGTCACATCATCAGTGGTGATAAACGGTTTCTTGTTCTCCTACAGTATCATAGCAAAAAATAACTTGTTCTTGCAGCAGAAAGTCGTACTTTACCAAGAAGCGGGCATAACTTTGGAACTATCAATTCCAAACAGCTTATATTTGCATGGGACAAGCTCAAAACAATGGATTTGAATGGATGACGGTTTCTAGCACCCCACAACTTAAGTTAAGTGGACGGACAAGTGGGGGCGTCTGTTTGGCTCAATATTTGTAATGGTTTTATCGCCAGACTTCACATCAGCTCCATGGACACACAATGGACCACACTGGCAACGGTCGACTTTCAGGCTACGCAGGCTGAATTGCAAATAAACCGATAACCGCTAGAATCGAGTCTTTTGATGTCACCAAACATCGGAGGCAGTTAGGTCCACTGGTGTAAACAACACACCCAGGAACAAAGGAAAATTTTTTAACTGGCTCAGCTGCCAATGTCCCCATGTAAAGCGAACTTTAGAGGAAGGTTTTGCGATTTGATCATAAAAGTAAGATTTGAAGCTTTGCATGGTGGGAGTGTTAGACCAAAAAAAAAAGGTTTGCGGGTACACCAAGTGGGAAATATCTCTTTTGTGAAGAGGTGTGGTTCTAAAAGGCTAATGAAACAGGCTCAATAAACTTTCTTAAAAATCTTCAATTTATAAATCAACTCCTATCAACAGAATCAAATTCAAGATGTGTGACCATTAGTTCCATGCACCTAGGATTCAAAATAAAAGGACACTTTTTTTTTTAATTCAAGAAGAATTCACAAATTCAAATTATGAACCCAAAAAGTTACACCCAGATATCACAGAATTTATTTAAGAGAATAATTTATTGCAAACCTGAAAAGGCCTGGCCTGATAAAAGTTAACTGTTCCGGTGAAGAGAGCTATTTTACAAAAACCCGCCTACCTCCTAAATAGGGGATATAAAGGTATTGTTTATGAATTCTATATTCAAAGAGCAGATTTGCATTAGAATAATTTTTAGACATTTCAAAGAGACAGAAAAAGCCAGCAGGTGTTTTCTTATTTCATAGAGGAAGGACACTGAAGGAGTTT